AGCTGATGCGGAACCTCCCTTTTGAAGCACGCCGCCTTCCGTCCTTCGAGCTCTGCGGACTCCGACAGCGTGGCATCCAACTTCACGGAGACGCCCCACGCCGGCCCCGCTTTGGAGCGGAACCGCCGTGCATACGTGCGGCCGCTGCGCACATTCGAGATTCTCGTCACAGGGCTGGGCCTACACGTTCTGTTTCGTCTTGGGTTCGTTTGGTTGTTCGTTTTGCTCTACCCTTTTTCCTGTACCTCCCTCCCGAAACGAAACACAAGACACAGCCAAGTCCAGCAACACAGCGTTCAGGACCAGCCCTGTCTTGTCATACACCCCCACACACTCCACACTGCTGTGCGATTATATGGAGAAACACCAAGGCACAACCACACTTAGAAGCCGTCATGGCCTCCACCAGTGTAGCAACTGGGAACCTTTAAAACGAGGGCGCACGGCGCTAACGCGACAACCACATGCGTAGAACGACTGCTCGCCCGACCGTGTAACTGTTAGATGTATTTAGGACGAATGCGCGCGGCGCTAAAGCGACAACCACATGCTGAAACTGTGGCCCTCCGTCCGAGTAACTGTTGGAATACTTTAGGGCTGATGAGCCCGCTGCTAAAGTGAGAACCGCATGGTGAAACACGGCTGGCTTTTCATCGATGTAACTGTTGGAAGATTGTACAGCGATTGTGCGCGGCGCTAAGGTAAGGGCCACGTTTTGAAACTCACCAACCCTCCAATACATGGTGAGAACATGTCGAACGACATGCCCGGCTTGGCCTGCGGAAGCGTCTTGTGGTGCAACATGGAGATTTACTTAAACAGAGGAAAGAGGCGTGAGGAAAAAAGGGATGAGGATGACGGGGAACGATGAGGATGGAAGAAGGGAGGGCATCCTGAGGTTCCCAAATCTCGGAAGGAGCCAAACAAAGTTTGAACCTGCCTTGAACGGTTCCAGGGGGTGTTCCCTCTTTTCTGTGAGGGGATCAGGTAAGGTGTGATTATACTGCGCATGATGATGATGGTGGTGATGGGGCGGAGGATGGTGATGATGACAATGATGACAATGATGACGGTGATGGTGGTGATCGGGTGCTACCTTTAGGTCAGGCGTGCCCTCATACAGGCGGACTTTGGACGACAAATAAAGCATAGTCAAAACAAACAAAAAAGCCACACCATGTCAAGAACTCGTCCCCACAGTATTTTTGGACCATTTCTGAACATTCCCTGTGTGGAGGGACGTGCCCGACTGAACGCCACCTTTGAAGGGGGCCAAGAACGATGCTGCGTTTACCCTCACAGATCGCAAATCAGTGCACGACCTTGGGCGGGGCCCGCGGCCCCAAGTGGCCAACGGCGGCGCACCCGGGCCCGCGCGGGCCCGGGCCAGCGCCGCCCAGAACTCCGAGCCGAGCCCCGCCGACGAGGCAGGGGCGCCCAAGGGTGGACCACCCGCGCGGAGCGGGCGACGCGCCCCAGGCCGACCAGCGGCTAGGGGAAGGCTTCTTGGAGGGAGGCTGTCCTGGAAGGCGCCGGCCTGGCATCTGCGGAGGAGGCCGGCGCCTTCTAAGAAACGGGGGTGCTTCTAAGAAACCTTTCCCCTCCCGCTACCCCCCTCTGCGCGTGGCCGGTAGGAGGGCGCGGCTTGCAAAGGCCGAGTTGCACGAGCACTTCGAGCCGAAAGCCGTGGCGACGCTTCCGCAGAACCTGGGCCCAGCCCAGGTGCCGCCCTGCCGCGCCCCATCGCGCGCGAGGCGTGGAACTGGCTCGGGCGGCCAAGCTGAGCGAACGCCGTGTTGCTGCTGTCGGCCGCGTCGAACTGCCGAGCCGCTCGCTTCAGGGCCGCCTTGCCGCCGCCGCGCCGCCGCGGGCACTGTGGCCTGGCCGCGCCCCGCGCGCGCCGCGGGCTGTCTCGGCGGCCAACGCCGCGGTCGATGGCGTGCCGAGTTGGCCGGGCAGGACCAGCATCGGCTCCGCGAGCTCGGTGCGGAACTGTGCCCCGCGCGTGGCCACCAGGGGTCCTTGAGTCGAGTTCGCTCTGGGCGGCCTCCGTGCCCGCCCGCTCCGGACGCTGCGCCTGGGCCGCGTCGCCCTCGACGACGACGGGCGCCGTAGCGACGGCGCCGAAACGGGAGAAGAGCTTGCACGCGTCGTCCTCCGTGAACTCATGCCGAATCTCTAGCCCTTTGGCCCACGCGAGTCGCGTGGCCGCGCCTCCGTGCGCTGGTGCCACGAGCGCCAACACGGCGATGAGGCAGAACCGCGGCCACCGAACAACCCACCTCCACCTGCATCGGGGGGCGTCTGGCCGTCTCCCGGAAGATCGCCTCCAGGGCCCGCCCAGCGGAGAGCGGCACCGCATCCGGCGCCGCGGGCTTCTGGCACCGCATGCCGAAATCATTCGCGCGCCCTTGCGCGCGTGCTGGGGGGGGGGGCGATCCGTGTCAAACAATACCATGCGGGCCATTCTCGCGCGTCGGCCGAGCGCGCATGTCGAACTCTTTCCAAAAACTTCATCGCCGACGCGAGGACGCCGTCATCGTCGTCGACGTGATCCGCATCGGCACCAGCACTGGCCGCGCCGTCGTCGTTGTCAACGTCGTCACCAGCATCGCTACTATTATCATCGTGTCTACCATTGTCGACGTTGCCATGATACCGCGCCCGCCCAAGTCGCTGAATCGCACTGAAGTGCCCGAAGGGATGTGCCCAGAGGTCAGCGCCAACGTGGCCGCGTCGGTCGCGCCAAACTAGCTGGCCGCTGCGGGCGCGTGCTTGGGTTGGCGCGGCCGCAAAGATGGACCAGCCAACGCCAAGCATTCATCGCGATGGTCACCGCACGTGTTTTGCAAACCAAGTTGCGGATGGGTGGGTGCGATGATTGCGCGAGCAATGGACTTGACAACTCACTGCGAACAGAAATTAATTCTCCTGAAAAGAAAATAGACTCTACCCCCCCCGCGTTATCCGCCCCCCTTTCGGGTATGTAAATCATATATGATTCGGACCACATGTCCATCCTAAATATGCATTTACACTATCCCAAGGGGGCCGGTATCGCTCCCCCTGAAATTTCCTTGAAAAACAATGCGCGGGGACATTCTTTGTTCTAACATAAGACTTTTTCGCGAATCCCTTGCAACAGATGGGACGAAGTGCGCACGCGCGCGTCGTCGCGCGCGCATGCCGAAATCCTCCAAAAACCTTCGGTGTCGGGATGATTTCGCAATCGAGTTCCCAAAGAACAGATAATAACACAGGGCTTCGCAACACTGATTTGCTACAAAAGCTTACGCGCGAGCTCTTGCGAAATCTTAAGCAAACCATGGGTTTCCAAGATTTTCGCAAAATGCTACCAAGCGGGCTTCGCGCGCGCATGTCGAAATCTGTCGAACGCCCTTGCGCGTGTGCCGTCGCGAAAACCCTCTGCAAAAAACGGGACGAAGTGCAGACGCGCGCGTCGTCGCGCGCGTATGCCGAAATCCTTCAAAACCCATCGGCTTCGGAAGGACTTCGACATCGTGTGTCCAACAAACCTACAAAAAACACAAGGTTTCGCAACACGGACTTTCAACAAAAGCGTGCGCGCGCGCTCTTGCGTCGTCGTCGTCGTCGTCGTCGCCGTCCTCCCTCCTCCCGCGTCGTCGTCGTCGTCTTCGTCGCCTACGTCGTCCTCTGTCTTTCCTCGTGTTCGTCGTCGTCGTCCTCTTTGGCGTCGTGGTCGTTTCCGTCGTCGTTGTCGCCGTGGTCGTCCTTCCCCCTCCTCCTTCGTCGTCGTCGTCGTCCGTCGTCGGCGTCTCGTCGTCGTCCCTCCTATTTCGTCGCCGTCGTCGTCGTCGTCGTCGTCGTTGTCGTCGTCGTCTTCTTCCCTCCTCCCTCGTCGTTGTCGTCGTCTGCGTCGCCGTCCTTCCTCCTTCTTCGTCGTTCGCGTCGTCGCCGTCCTCCCTCCTCCCTCGTCGTTGTCGTCGTTGTCGTCGTTGTCGTCGTTGTCGCCGTCGTCGTCCTCCCTCCTCCCTCGTCGTCGTCTTCGTTGGCGACGACGTCGTCGTCTTCGTCGTCGTCGTTGGCGTCGTCGTCGTCTTCGTCGTCGTCGACGTCGGCGTCGTCGTCGTCACCGCCGTCGTCGTGGTCGTCGTCGGCGTCGTCGTCGGTGTCGTCGTTGTCGTCGTCGTCGGCGTCGTCATCGTCGTCGTCGTTGTCATCGTCGTCGTCGTCGTCGTCGTCGGCGTCGGCGTCGTCGTCGTCGTCGTCGTCTGTGTCGTCTGTGTCGTCGTCGTCGTCGTCGTTGTCGGCGTCGTCGAAGTCGTAGGAGACGTCGTCGGTGTCGTCGTAGTCGTTGTCGGCGGCATCGTCGTCGTCGTTGTCGTTGTCGTCGTCGGCGTCGCTGTCGTTGCCGAGTGCCATTTGGTACCCACCGTCACGGTCTTAAGAGATCTTGCAAGCGAGGTTGCGGGGGGGTGGGTGGGCTGTTTGCGCGAGCAGTGGAGTGGACAACTCACTGCGAACAGAAATAAATTTATGGCACCCCGTAGATTGCACTGCGTAGCTTGGGTACCGCGCCACATAGTTGGCACCGCATAGACTGCAAGAACCTACTGTTTGGGGCACACGTTGGCTAACATTGAGGGTTCCTGACCAGCGATTCCTTGCTAAGCATTCCTTTCACTGGATTCCTTGATCAACGCTCCTCACCAAAGATTTCACCACAACTGATTCCTTACTAACGAATTCCTGAATACGGATCCTTTGGGAAAGGACTCCTTACTATGGACTCCTCCCAGAGGATTCTTTACTAAGGATTCCTTCTTCGAGGTTCCTTCTTAAATATCCCTTAGTAAAAATCTTTTTATCAACACGGATTCCTTGCCACGGAATCCTTACTAAGGAAAGGCATGATCACAAGGATGATAACGGGCAGGGTGAGGTTAGGATGACTAGGGGAAGGCGAAGGAGTAGGATCAGGGGGAATGGTCGGGCGGGGGCGGCGGCGGCGGCTTGCACGCCTCCACTCCGCAGTGCCGATCATATTCTTGCGGTGTTCGTCCTCCATCTGCTGCTCCCGCTGGTCGCGTTCCTGGCGACGGGTTGGGAAGGATAATCGGGATAAGGACAAGGATGATGGTGATGTTGAGCTTTGGCCCTGAAGAAAAGTATTGTTGACCCACCCTTCGTCGCCCACTGATTGGTATCGGTCGAAGTGTACGATCGCCTCCCCTCCCTGGCCGAGGACGACCTTGTGAACCGGACTGCGCCCTCGAGCCCTCGACCCAGATAGTCAGCGTGGCGAGGGACCTGACCATGTGCAGGTGTTAGCACCCCGTGGCAAGGGACGAAGGAGGGGGAGATCGTTTTGGGCAAGCGTGCGAAGGGTGTGCCGACATGGGTCTGGGGACGCATGTGCTTCCTGTTGTTGCGGCCGTAAACGGAACTGCCTACTGGGCCACGGAGCGTGTGAAAGGTGTACCAGCATGGGCCTGCGGAGGCATGCGCCCATATGTGGACGGTGCCTCTCGGGCCTTCGGTGGGGCTCCCTGTGGCCACGAAGGGTGGTGCGCCGAAACGGGCGTGATGCCCACATGTGGACGGTTCCTCAGTTGCCTTCGGTGAAGCTTCCTATGGAGCCACCCTATGGGGTCACGGAACATGTGAGGGGTGTGCCGAAACGGGTGTGACGCCACCGTGTGGACGGCGCCATTCGGGCCTCAGGCGGAGCCCCCTATGAGACCACGAAACGTGTGAAGGGTGTACCGAAACGGGTGTGACGCCGAAGCGTGGACGGTGCCCGCGTGAGGGGTGCACCAGCATGGGCCTGCGGAGGCATGCGCCCACATGTGGAGGGCCTGAAATGGAGTTGTCTGTAGGGCCACGGAGCATGGTGTGCCGAAACGGGCGTGAGACCCACTTGTGGACGCTTCCGAGGGCCCTCGGTGGAGCTCCCTGTCGGGCCACGGAACATGTGAGGGATGTGCCGAAACGGATGTGGAGCTGCCTATGGGGCCACGAAGCGTGTGAGGGATGTGAAGAAACGGGTGTGACAACAGCACCATGTGGACGGTGTCCCTGGGGCCTTCAGTGGAGCTGCCTATGGGGCCACGAAGCGTGTGAGGGGTGTGCCGATACGGGTGTGACGCCACCATGTGGACGGTGCCACTCGCGCCCTTGGTGAAACTCTCTATGGGGCCACGGAGCATGTGGGGGTGTGTGATGCCACCAAGTGGAAGGGATCAGGTCCTCCCGAAGGAGGCGGACAACTACGCAGATCCCCCTCGTTCCTCCCCCTCCCTCCTCCGAGGAAGGAGGGGGACCATTTATCCGGACGTGGGCTGGAGTCAGGGGCTAGCTCCCAGACTGCGGCCGCAAGGAGCGGCCTCAGGGTGTCGACGGAGGGCCCGAAAGACGAAGCGACTTTTAGGAAGCAAGGGTCTTCGTGGAATCAGGCAGTGGGCCCCTTGGGCTGTCCAAGAGGTCGTGGTCGGCGCGCCTGCCGCACCCACTGGAGCTGGCGGATCTGGAAGGTGGTGGGGGGAGGGATGGACAGAGGACGGCGGTGATGACGGGGCTGTCGGCAGACCTGGAGCTCTGCTGGGATCGCGGCCCCAGGAATCAGCGGGCGCCTTCAAGGGGCAGCGCTGCGCACTGCTTGCCAAACACTGGGCCAGGGAGGAGCGGATCCATAGGCACGACCAATCGGACGTCTGCCGCCTACTCGCCTCGCCATCGCCTCGAGAGGAAAGGGGGATGCTCGGCTGAGTTGGGGCAAACTCTGACCTCAAGGCATAGGCGTCTCCACCTTGCCGGCTGGCATGTGATACGCCCCAGGAGAAGTACAGCTGGACCTCGGCCAGAAGAACACCCCTCAAGAACATGAGACCCTCCGTCGACCAAAACACCTCGAACATCCAATGATATCTACCCCAGGATACACGAGAACATCCAACAAGCACGAAGAACAGCAGGGTACCCTTCCCGAACCGACCTCGATCTTAGACCTCGGCCCGACTGTATCGGGATCTCCCTGGCTTGCGACACAGTCGACGTGGAACCCTTGAAGTTCCTCAGGTACTGCAACATATCAAAAGTAGACGGAGGCCTTCCAATTGCTGAGAGACAATGAGTGGCCAGAGCAGGGGCAGAACACTGCAAACAGAGGCCCGCGATCCTGCGGGCGCGGACCTGCGAGTGCAACGGGGGAGCTCACAAGGCTTCGCGAGCCGCTGCGTCGGTGATGGTGTCGGGGGCGCCGAACCTCCCGGCGCCGCTGATCATGCGCAGGGCGTGGGGGTACTGGGCCCCGAGCGCATGCCAACCCTTTTCCAGCTGGCCTCTCCAGGCAGCCACAGCGCAGAGTGATCGTGAAAGGATCACGGATTGCGCGTCTCAGACTGCACGTGCGAGGGCCCGAAGATCGGCACCGCCAGCGGCGAAGGACCGGCTGGGCCTAGGTGGCCCTTCTGCGCTCCTCGGCTTGGTGCGTCCCGACGTCTTGCCGTGTGGCCCCGAGGTGCGGACTGCGATGGATCCGCCGAAGGAGGCTGCCAGTCTGGGTGGCGAGCTCCTCCCTTCCTTGATGCAGTCGACGGTCTTGTCGGAGCTTGAGCGAGCGAGGGCCGAAGAACCGAAGCATGGCTGCTGACCTGCCGGGGGCGAAGGTGATGCTGAGGCCGATCCTCTATCCAGCCTCTCGAGGGCTTGCTCGGGGCAGACGTCTTGTTGCCGGAGCAGAAAGACCGCACGGTCCGCGTACCCTGCGTCATTCGGCGTGTCGGCAGTCTCGTGCAAGCCGGGCTGGTTATGGAGGACCGTGGCCCAGGGCACAGCGAGGACGGCTGGCGTGAGAAGCTGCAGGGAGATGCCCTCGTCGACGAAGTGGCGTCGCGCGCGCTCGCGGCCCAGCTCGCAACCGAGGTTGAAACATAGCGCACCCAACCTGCATCCTTGACGGGCTCCGCTGCGAGCGAACACGTCGTCGCCTCCTCCTCCTCGGACAGCAATCCAAGCGCAGATGTTCCAGTCAGCCACTCGACGTCTTCTTGAAGGTCTGCTTGCTGCAGGAGCGGCATATGACACTGAAGGCAGTGCCGAACTTCCTGGGCCACCTCTGCCGCTGCTGCTGCTGATGGTGATGATAATGCTGCTGCTGATGATGATGATGCTGATGATGATGCTGATGATGATGATGATGATGATGATGAGAACGATGATGATAACGATGATGCTGATGATGATGCTGCTGATGATGATGTTGATGATGATACTGATGATGGTGATGGTGGTTATGGTGCTGCTGATGATGATGATTATGATGATGGTAATGATGATGCTGACGATGGTGATAACGATGCTGCTGATGATGGTAATGATGATGCGGCTGATTATGACGATAATGTTACTGTTGATGCTGATGTGTAGGTTGTTGTGGGTGATGATGATGATGCTGCTGCTGCTGCTGATGATGATGATGATGATGATGATGATGATGCTGGTCATACTGATGACTATGATGCTGATGGTGATGATGATGCTGCTGCTGATGATGACGACACTGATGACACGCAGCTCTGACGACCCCGCTTGATAAAACAAGGGGGCCAGGGAGCCACGATATCAATGGACAACGGGATAAGCGAGGGGAACGAAGACGATGAGGCCGAACCCGTGCCCCAAGACATGTTGTGCCCATGGCTGTACCGAGGTGGGCCGCTGGAAGTCGCTCCTGGGGCTCGGAAGCCCCCTGTGCCACTTCCCTCTCTCTTTCCTTCTTCCGTCGCCTGCTCCTCCTGCCCCTCCTCCTCCTCCTCCTCCTGCCCCTCCCCCTCCCCCTCCCCTCCTCCTCCTCCTCCTCCTCCTCCTCCTCCTCCTCCTCCTCCCCTCTCCTCTCCTCCTCCCTCCTCCTCCTCCTCCTCCTCCTCTTCCCCTCCCTCCCCCTCCCGCTCCTCCTCCTCCTCCTCCTCCTCCCTCCTTCTCCTTCCCTCCTCCTCCCCTCCTCCTCCTCCTCCGCTCCCCATCCTCCTCCTCCTCCTCCTCCTCCTCCTCCTCCTCCTCCTCTTTCTCCTCCTCCTCCTCCTCCTCGTTGGCCTCCTCCTCGTGCTCTTCCTCCTCCCTCCCCTCCTCTTCCCCCGCTCCCTCTCCTCGTCCCCTCACCGTCCGGGCGACGACGACGACAAACTCGAGGAGAAGGAGTTGTGTTTGTTCACTCCCGCCAGAGGCTGTTTGAACACTGGTGCTACTTGAGCACCTTCTTAGTCGCCAGCTGGCTCTTAGCCAGCTTGCTCCTGCTAGGAAGTTCGCCTCTGGCGAGCCTGGCCAGCAATCGCTTGCCGTATTGGCCAACTGAAATGTTGAGGAGAAGGAGCACGACCACGGCTACAACGACCCAACGACGCACGGCCGCGGCGCACGACGACGACGACGCTGACGCGCGACGACAACGACGCGCGACGTCGGCGGCGGCTGCTGCTGGGCGCGTCCTTGGCGCCGAGGCGCCGACGACGAGGACGCCGACGCCGACGCCGACGCCGACGCCGACGACGACAACGACGGCGTTGACGCGCGACGACAACGACGCGCGACGGCGGCGGCGGCCGCCGCTGGGCGCGTCCTTGGCGCCGACGCGCCGACGACGAGGACGCCGACGCCGACGCCGACCCCGACGCCGCGCGACGACAACGACGTGCGACGTTGGCGGCGGCCGCTGCTGGGCGCGTCCTTGGCGCCGACGCGCCGACGACGAGGACGCCGACGCCGACGCCGACGCCGACGCCGACGACGACGACGCCGACGCCGACGCCGACGCCGACGCCGACGCCCACGCCGACGACGGCGACGACGACGACGGCGGCGTCGACGCGCGACGACAACGACGCGCGACGGCGGCGGCGGCTGCCGCTGGGCGCGTCCTTCTTGAGCTTTTCGAGGCGCTCCCCGTGGTGGCTGTAAAGCTTCTCGTGGAAGTCGGGGCTGGCGGTGCGGGCCGGGTTGGAGCCTGGCCTCGGCTTCCCGAGGCGCGCCCGAGGCCTCCTCGCCCTCCCTCGGCCCCTGCTGCTGCTGCTGCTGCTCCAGCCCTTCCCTCCCCATCCTCTTCCCTCCTCCTCCTAGGGGGCAAACAGACCTACCCCGCTTCTGACCACCCTCGCTTCCAAGAGATCCCAAGCGGTACCAAAACTACGGCCTGCACTGGTCATGCCGCTTGGCGAGGAGGCGCGTGGTATGACTTGGTCTTGCCTGGAAGCGAAAGCGGGGTAGGCAATGCACGCTCTGACCTCCGCCCCTCTTCCTCCCGTGTGGGTGGGGCGAGCCCGGCGGCTCGCCGGAGCCTCCCCCCGCCGCGTGCCTCGCCACCGCTCGGGCGCCCATGCCCCGTGTAGGTGCTTCGGCTGCGCGCGAGTGCATTTTCTCGCGAGGTGGCCCAAAAGGCTGCTCGATGGCCCTCGCCGTGGATTTTCTCGCCGGGTGACCTCAAAGGCTGCTCGATGGTCCTCGCCGAGAGGAGTGCACACGTCCGAGCGATGCCGAGGCAGGATCCGCACTCGCAGTGTGACCCAAAAGGCTGCTCGATGGTCCTCGCCGAGAAGAGCGCCCACGTCCGAGCGATGCCGAGGCAGGATCCGCAGCCAGGAAATGTCCAATAGCTGCGCGAGGAGGGAACGCCACGCACACTCGCTGTCAGCAGCCCAGCAGCGACACGGACGGAGGGCGCGAGGTTGCCGAGCCGTGGCTCTCCCCTCGGCGCCGCGCATCTCCTTCGTCAAACTTTCCAGCCGCTATAAGGACGAAGGGCGGGCGGCTTTCAAACTGTGGCTGCTGCCCTGGCTCCGCGCACAGCGTGTCGCAAGCTTCGAGCCGCAATACAGAGAGTAGAGGGCGGCTCCTCTCCGACGTGGGAGAGGCCCCCGAGGCTTCCCCGGGTCGATGGCCCGCAGTCCAGGCTCGTGCAACGGTTGCGCGGACAGAGGGCCGCTCCTTTCCTTTCCAAGATCGAGCCCTCGCCTGGAGACCTCGCCAGCCCTGCTAGCCAACCGTGCAAACTCTTGCAACAACGGCACCGGCGGAGGCCGCTTGCTTCTCACGCCTGGGCTTTTGCTGGACACCACCCTTGCCCTACCGGGGGTGGTCCCTGCCCCCTCCTCCTCCTCCTCCTCCTCTTCCTCCTCCCCCTCCTCCTCCTCCTCCTCCTCCTCCTCCTCCTCCTCCTCCTGTCGCCTCTCCTCCCCCTCCTCCCCCTCCTCCTCCTCCTCCTCCTCGTCCTCCTCCTCCTCCTCCTCCTCCTCCTCCTCCTCCTGTTTTGCACCCCTTGTCCCACTGGGGTTGGCCCCTGCCCCCGCACTGCGCCCCTCCGCCGCCGGCCCCCCTCGGCGCAGCGGCCGCCGCGGCCTCGCCGGCGGGGCGGGCCGCGCCACGCGCTCGGGGCGCGGCTCGTCCCCCTGAGCGGCCTCGCTCCCCTCCCTCCTCGCCATCGCTCGGACGTGCATTCCCTGGCAGTTTTTTTCGGTCTCGTGCGTGGTGTTTTTTTTTTTTTGGGCCAGAGGATCAAGGATGCCCCTCGATGGTCCTCGCCGAAGGAGGCATGCACACGTCCGAGCGATGCCACGCCTCCCCCCCCCCCGTTCGGCCGCGCGCTCTGCGCTCTCCCCTCCTCCCTGCACGGTGGCGCAGGGCGCTGCGAGCGCGCCCCCCGTGCAGGCGGCTCGTCGCCGGCGCAGCTGCCGAAGGTTCGGAGGGATGCGGGCTCAGCTCCGCCTCCGGACGGGGGGGGGGGAGATGGACCCTCCTCCTCCTCCTCTTCTTCTTCTTCTTCTCATCATCATGGCAGGTGATTGAAGCCACAACATGAGGTAGGCGAGAGATAGCAGGACAGGGATGGAGAGACGGCAGCAGCGGCGGCCGTCAAGGCTATACAACCTGAGCCCTCATAAAAAATAACTCTGCCCTTTAAAGTCCGGCGTGGACCATTGTCAACTGATAGAGAGCAGGCTGTAGCGTGTGCAAGTGGCACAGGTTACTGCTTTAAAGCGGCGACACTGAAGGCGGCACAAGGTAAAGAGCATAAGTGTGGTTGAGAGGAGGCCTTCACCTGTGGGGCATGGTTACTGACAAAGTCGAGCATCACTAAGTAAGTGCTGCACTGGACAGGTACTGTTTTTTTTCAGTGAGCGTACGCTAGCAATGCTTGGGGTAGCATGGCGACACTTTCTCTGTCCAGCCCTTCACCTTAGCCCTACTAGCACACATGGCACGCTGCTTGCGCTATAGGAGTGTGAGCGCACAGCATGCAGCACACGATCAAGAAGGGGTGGGGGCAGCAGGCAAGTTCGGTCCCCTCGCTCTCCTTTCATCGCGTGCTGGGTTGTGGATCATACAGTCCATTCCATTGACTTGTATTTCTGTCGCGTAGTAGTCCAGCGGGGCGTGGTAACGTCGTAAGCTGTGTGGTTTCCAGCCGTCGGCGTGGTCGAGTTGTAGTTCCCGCTGGAGTTGGATCTCGTCGGTAGAGTCCCATTGGAGCCCTTCAGAACCCTGAAGGTCTAACCTGTCGATGATGGTCCGACGCGTGTGATTTTTTGGGGCCCAGGGAGGTGCAGGGGCTTTGCGGATGCGTCGTCGGGGCACGGGGACCGAGGTATCCACGAAGACCCAAGGAAACCGTACCCAGGCCTCGTGAAACATGGCTTGTGCAAGCACCTCACAAAGCCCCCGCGGGTATTGTTTGGCAGCTGCTGTGCGCCAGTTGCCAAGCTCATCTTCACCTTCTAGTGCCATATGTCCCCTGGGATGGCTGCAGAGACACCCCCCCCGCCTGGCCTCCAGTGCCTCTCCTAGCCCTGGAGCATGAACGGCCATCAAAACAGTAGGTTTGCGAGAGGGGGCCCCGAAGGCACATTGGTGAATGACATGCTTGTTCACTTGGGGTTGGGCGCACAGCCGTTTGACTTCGTCCAGGTACCAGGAGCTGGGGGCTTCAGGGGGATCCCAGGGCTCGGCAGGGTGTTCCATGATGAACGGAACTCCCAGTCGCCAACAAATGATGCCTAGCTCAATGCACGTCCTGAGAAGCTTGTTTCCGAGGGTAACTTGTTGCCTCTCTCTGCTGTTGATATGGGGAACCCCCCAGAGCTGGTCCCGAAGCCTCAGCGGCCTCGGAGGTCGCGTAGTCACCGAGCCGTCAGCACGTGGGGCAGGGGGTCTAAATCGTGCCACTGACCATGTCTCACATGGTGGACCACATACGATTGCTGCGATGTATCCTGCTTTGAGCAGACGGATCCACATCCTGACTGATTCAACTTTGGTTAAGTCCCCATTGATGGGGTCATTAATGACATCTATACTAAGTATGAAAAGCTTGGCTGGAAACCTAGAACCTCCTCCTCCTCCTCGTCCTCCTCCTCCTCCTCCTCCTCCTCCTCCTCCTCCTCCTCCTCCTCGTCCTCCTCCTCCTCGTCCTCCTCCTCCTCCTCCTCCTCCTCCTCGTCCTCCTCCTCATCCTCCTCCTCCTCCTCCTCCTCCTCCTCCTCCTCCTCCTCCTCCTCGTCCCCCTCCTCCTGGCCCGAGCGGCAGGCCCGCGCGGCCACTGTTTTCTCCGACCAGGGGGGGCGCTCCCTGCAGCGATGAAGGGAGGAGACTTGCGAGGAAGGGGTCTGGGCCCAAAGGTCTGCTCTCCCCCGGCTGGCCAAGCAGGACGCCCACCACGGAATGGTGTGGGGTCCAGTTGCCTGAAGTCGAAGCACGGACGTGAGGATTTTATTGTTTTATCTTCAGACCCACAGGGTCAACGGTGCCCCTTCGATCATCGATTGCTGAGGGTGCGCTCGGGCCGAGTTAAAAGGGCCCGGAGGGTGTGTTTCACAGAGGAAGAAGGAACGCCATGAACTTGAGCTTGTGGCGCTCCGCGCGGATGTCTTGGATCTGCGCTGGACCCCCCTCCCTGGCGCGCGGAGCGCGCCAGGGGCGGCGCTGGAGGCGCCGCCAGGGGGGCCCAGCGCGCGGAGCGCCAACAGTTTAAGCTTATGGCGTTTTTTCTTCTTCTTCGATTTCAACATCCTCAATGCGTCCTGGATGAGCTATGGTCCCTCTCCTCCATCCCACCTCCCAGGTTCTCCGCGGCGACAACACAACCGAAAACCGACCGCACCGACAGCGAAATCGAAGCCGACCGAGACCGGTCGGCCGCAGGCAGCCTAGAAGGGCGCAGAGGCGCAGCAACGACACAACAACCGACCGAACCGAACCGACTGAGCGCAACCGACTGCGACGTTGCTGAACTGACCGACACACACACAAATACATAGACCCATATCCCACGATCCCCCGTGTTTCCGAAAATATTCTGGGCTTTCGTCTTACCCCCCGCTTCCCATGTTTCCCTAGATTTTTCTAGGAATCGACGTCTATTTGTGTCAGTGTTTGATTTTTCCCATCATCCCTCTCTCCCTCCGCCCTGCCCTCGTCGTCACCAGGCGGCGGGCGCGTTCGAGAGGCCGGGCCGATGGGCAGTAAGCCCGCGGCATCCTGCCGATGGAGCTGACTTCCTGCCGGAGGTGGCTCTCGACCTGTCGGCGTCCTCGTCGTCATCGTCGTCGTCGTCGTCGTCGCCGTCGTGTCGTCGGCGTTGTCGTCGTCGTCGTCGTCGTCGTCGCCGTCGTCGTCGTCGTCGTCGTCGGCGTCCTCGTCGTGGCCGTCGTCGTCATCGTCGTCGTCGCGGTCGATATCGCCATCGTCGTCGAGGGCCCCTGGAAGATATCACACCAGAGAAAACACCAATCAATACATGTCAGAACTTTTCGCCGGCACTTCGATCGGCCTTCCTCCCGCCCGAGTCCAATCTAGTTACTACAGACTTCTCTCTCTCTCTCTGCATTTTTGCCTGTCTCTTTCTCTTTCCATGTTTTGTATTTCCCTCTCTGTCCGTGTGTGTGTATATATATCTCTCTCTCTCTCTCTCTTTCGGTATTTCGGTGCATCAATATGTACACAATCTTCTTGCATCATATATGTACACATACACACATTTTTGTTTTCCCTCTCTCTTTCTCCTGTTTTTCTATAACTCTCTCTCTCGCTACTCGGTCTCTCTCATTATTTCCTCATTCTTTCTCTCGCTATCATAATTGTTAGGTTCCCTCTCTCTCTCTCTCTCCCTCATTTTGTGTATGTGGGAAGTTGGGGGATGAGAGCGCAGCGAAACAGAGACCCCCCACTGGGAAATCGGTTGCGATCTCGTGTTCGTGTCGTGCGTGCGGGCGGGGCGAAGGTGCGTCGGCGAGCGAGAGGAATGAAGCTGGCGTTGCCAGGGCGGTGCGGGTTGGCCGGCATGGTGTGCCGATGTTGCCCCGATGGTGTCCCGTGGTGGCTTCGCTCATTCTTCAAGCTGCCGAGCTGCGTAACACCCGCATGCTGAACAGCACCAGATTCCCAGTCCCGCGTGATGCCTTTAACTTCTGACTTGGATCGGGAAAACCCCTGCAATGTGCACCCGCCGCCCTTGAGGGGGGGATGCAAACGAAGTCCCGTCCACAATATTAATTCGATCAAAAGAGGACGACGAGGAGGCTGACCAGTTTTTGCGCTTTGCTTGTGTGGATGTCCCGTTGCACCGAGAGCACTTGCGACAGTTACCATCTTCCAGAGCATGCTGAGTTGAGAACACAACACCCATGGAGGGAGCTGGGGGCCTAGGTTGAGCACGACGGGCTGTTTTCCGACCAAGGCTTTTACCAAGATCCTGCTTAACTGCTAGGGCCTCGATCCTGCCCTGAACAATCGCATTATGACGAGAAGCGCTTTGTGCTCAACAGATTTCACTGGCGTGCGTCTTTTCACTGGCGAACGGACCTCGCTTGCCCCACGCGAGGCGAAGGCGTCATCCTCTGCGTTGCCCGCGACGAGCAGCGTGGGGGCGAGGCCTTGCTGCGCCTCTGTGGCCCCGGTGCGAGTTGACGAACAGGACCGTGCAGTGCAGCCCAGGGTTAGCCTCCAGGTGCCTGCCGATCTCTTCAGCCACAAGTCGCTGTCTTCTCCTTCAAACTTCATGCACCGTTGGTTGTGCCATCCGGTGATCGCACTCTCGTTGCCCGTCGTGTATATGAGGTGGCCGGGTGAGCTCCGCAGCGCGAGGTGAAGAGCCACGGGCTCGCCGCGAAGACCAGTTTGACGGATCCCTGGAAGTCCGCCCCGCACTCCGACGTGCAGCTCCATGTCGTCGTTGGGGTCCGTGTAGCAAGCGGGTCCTAGGCCCGCGCGTCGTAGCCTCTGGTCTCTGCTCTCGCGGCCGCTGCTGGCGTGGCTGAAAGCATCGAGCGGGTGCTCCTGGGCGCCCTCGCCGATTCACTCCTCGACGTGCTCGTCGCCTGCGACTGCGGGGTCTCCACTTCCAGCCGAGCCGATGGCGTGAGTCCACGTGTCCAACAATCGGCTGCTGCTTCTCCCTGTGCGTAGGCTTCACCCGTGTACTTGCCCGTTAATGTAAAGAACTCATGCGGACACCGACCCTCGCGAGCCCATGCTCGGTGAACGGCGGCCTCGGGATGACGGCGGCGCCGAGGACATGTCGGCGCCATCTCCTGTTAGGCCCTAGCCTGCCATCGCGTTCTAAACCACGTGCCCCCCGCGGCGATGGCGAGGAAGAGGCCGACCGGCCTTCGTCCACCAGGTGCCCCTTCGAGCTCCTGGAGAAGTCGCCTGCGGGATCGATCGCGAACTCCACCTTCGAAGCCAGATCCCTCGAAATGTAAAGCAGCTCATCGCCAGAGTGCTGCCTGAACTGACTGCCTATATTGTGCGTCGCATTCTTCGGGCAAGCCGATGCTGCCGATGCCCGTGAGTTTGTCGACCGCAGCCTGTCCAATTCACTCGGACCTATCGCCGACGCCTGGCGCGTTATCTGAATGTGGTCGCCAGCCTGCCTGCAACACATGCATGTGACTGCACTTTGTGGCCTGCGGATGTGCCTGGAGGCATGCAAGCAAACTCGCGCACAAGTGTGGGCCGCGCGCGCGATGCCGTCGCGAATGCTCGGCTGACGCACCCAACGCGTCCACCAAAGACGTGGGCTCCTGTGGCAGCTTGCACGATTGGCCCATGCGCGTGGCTTTCGAATTGACCAGGGCTGTGGGACATCGATCAGACATCATGGGGCCTGGCGCGTTGCCCGACTTCCTCCGACATTGTGTCATCGCATCTACGAGAACTCCATGGAGCTGGTGCCCGTAGACGCCAGCTGCCTGTACCCTTTGCTGCTCTGGTCTCGATGCGAGGCCGTAGTGGCGCCGTCGCGCCGAGTGGCAGGGACATTCGTGATCATGCGCTTGTGCGTGGCCAGGTGCTTAACCTGCCTAGCTGAAAGACGTGCCCGAGCGTGGCGCGACCCTCTCCCTAGGTCTCCTCCGAGATCACGGGCTTGCGGTACTGCGCGTACTTGATATGCACGGGCCAGAACGCGTCGAACAACCGTCTTGGCGCCATCCAACTTCGTGCACACAACAACGCTCTCTGGCGAGATGGATAAGCCCGCGCGCTGCGTTGACCGACAAGTACCGACCAAGCATCGCACCCGCTTGTCGCGCGACGCCTGCCTCGAGCTCTTGACCCGCTGACTGAGGTCGTCGATCCGCAGCCGCTGTGACATGCCCGCGTGCACCGTCGTCCGCCGATGCATGATGTGATACGTGGCGCGCGTGGCGAAACGAGTGCCTCCTCTGAGGCCCTGGGCCATCGAACGGAGCGGTGTGGACGGCTCCGAATATGTGCCCGACTGGCGCAGGCACCTGTCCGGCATGCACTGCGTCAGCTCCAGCACCTCGGCTGGGAAGGCGAACCGCGAGGCGGCCTTGCCGATCAACGTCCGCCCGATCGTGTCTTGGAGCTTGCCGATGTCCAGCAATCCATTGCCATGATGTGCAACTTGCTGCTAGCTCCTCATCTATGGCGCGTAAAAGTACTTCTCTCATCGCTGCGTTGTCCTTGATGGCTGCGCCCCAAGGAGCTTCGCGCTCGAATGTCCACTGCTCGCGTGAGGTCCCCTTGCTTGTAACCGGACTCGTGGCGAATGCGGCGTGGGTCCGATTAATCTGTCTCCAGGAACTTTCTTCGGGGGAAGGGTCCTGATCGCGATGGGGGGCTTGGTGGGGCCATGTCTCGGTGGCCTCGCGCGCTGAGCAAAGTCGCCTTCTCCCGTCGCGCTTCGTCTGGATGCCGAGGGAGTTCGCTCGAGGTCAGGCGGTCCGCGCCCATGGCAGCCGGCGCCTTGATGTTTCCTGATTCTGTGCGTAGATCGTTGGCCGCGATGGGCGGCGGTGCCCCCCCGACGGATTTGATCGCGAATGTCCCGACACAGGCTCTCGAGCTCATGGATCTCGATGCTGGCGCCGTCCGCTGCAGGAAAAGACGGGGCCCGTGCTTGGTCGCATTCTCGACTCTCATGGTCAAGCGCGTCCTGGGGGCGAAGAATAGCCTGGCCGTTGATGGCCGCGTCCTTAGCCTCGGGCGTGGGGGTCTTCATCTTCTTGTGAAGTGCGCCCCGTGCTGGCGCTGTCTCTGCCCGTTCTCTAAAGTCGCCCGTGGCCCGTCCGATGACTGCCCTCTGCCCGTGGCCTGCGAGCTTGCCAGCGGCCTGGGAACTAATGTCAAGTTTTGCCAACTCACTCTCGCAAAGGTGCCCCAGGTGATGCGTCCGACAGTTCCAATGTAATCGGTCTGTTGGCCGAACTGTCTGAGCTGCCTTCTCGGGGGCGTCGCCTGGCGGGAGCCTGCCTGCTTCGTGCAAAAAGTCTACCTGATTGGCTCGCGCCCGCCAGCTGCAAACGCCATCGCGAAGCGGCGCCGCGCGCGCGAGCGTCGCCCGATGAGCGCGCCGCGTGGAACTGGGGCGCTCCGTCGCGAGACGCGCCAGACAAGACCTGCTTATGCTGATTTCGAGTTGGAGCTTCAACCGCGCGAATCCGACGGGCGTAGAGTGCGCTCAACGCAGCGGGATATTTCGATCCGACGCGGTGAGCTATGGGGCGCTCGATCGCAGCAGCAGTGGGGCAGGGGGGGGCGGGGCGAAGCCGATGCGCAGTCTTCCTTCGCGCCGTGTGCTGCCGGGAATGCAGCGCCCAAGTCTGCGAGGGCGCGTCGGACAGCCCGTCGGGCGATGGCCCCTGGGCGGCTGGGCTCCTGGACTCCGAAGGCGGCCCGCGCTGGACTGAAGTCGGCTGATTGCGCGGCTGTCCACCCGAACTGGGGTCGTCTCGTCGGCCGAGACAGCGGCCGCAAGCGGGGCGGCGGGGCGGAAAGCCGCATTGTCCGCCTGCGGGTCGCCCTCCGAATAATTTGCCCACCCGCCCCCCGAGCTGGGAGGGTTCGCCGTTCTCGCAATGGGCGTCCGCATCGCTGGGGAAAGGCGGCCGAACGGGGGGGGGTGCTGGGGCCCGATCCGCAGTCATCTGCCGTCGCAGCTTCGCCCAGGCCGAAGCCCGAAGCGGGCCGAGATTTGATCTTCGCGCCCCTGGCTCGATTGGCCTCCAACCTTGAAGTCGCCCTCTGTGCATTGGCCGCGCTGGACTTAGGGCCGAAGGTGGCCCGGCGGAACGGCGAGCGGACGGGCGGGGGGCGAGAGTGGATTGCAAGGTGCCTATTGTGCAGCGGTGCCCCCCCCCACCTGCTACGCGCTCGACGCTGATTCCGATGCGAGGTTTCCACGGCGCAGCTGCGACAGCGAACGCGAGGCGTGCGCATGCTCGCGCAGTGTGACTAACAATGGGGGATCGAGGTGGTTGGGGGCATGGCTGCCACCGAACGCGCTATCTGCCCGCCTGCGCTCTCCAGCCATTTAGCGTGGGTGATGGCGCCTGGGGGCAGGTTCCAATCTGCTGCCGCGTCCCCGGGAATTTGCCAAACGCCGAAACATGCGTCCCACCTTCCTGAGTCGCTCAACGTTGGAGCCTCTGCATCCGATGCCTGAGTGCCCGTGGGAACTGGAAGCGGCCGAGGGGGATTCCCTCGCGCGGAAGATGCGCGGCGCGAGCCCGTCGCGCGCGGTGCCGCCCTCCGCGCGGAGGCCGCTCGCAACTCGAGCTTCAGCTAATTTTTGAACTGGTCGGCGATTGCGGGCCAGAGTCCGCTCGCCTCCTTCGTTGCTGCCACTATCCATCTGCATGTCTGCCATGGCCCACCTGGACTTCGACCTAGCAGGGTTCGCGAGGAGCTCCATCGATGCTCGGCGTGCGCGAGAGGCCCGCGCGGACGCGCCTGGCGCTTCCACGTGTGTCTTGCGCACAGCGATGTGGTGGTGGCTGTCTGACGCGGCCTTGAGAACGTGCCGCGCCTTGTCCCCCGCGCTGGTGATCTTCGCGAAGAACAACCTGCCAGCGGCGCCACTGGCGAGCCCCCCGTCGTGCTGAGCCGCCGCAGCGGCGTCATCGCTTGCGGGCCCTAATCACTCAAGGTCGGCCTTGGCGTCGCCAGCCGCAGCGCCCGTCGGCCCAGACTCAGGGGCTGCCGCGCCCTCGCCTGCGGCCATGGCCGAAGAGGCCGCGGCGAACCTCGCCTGGGAGACCCGCGCCGCATCGGCATGGAGCTCCGCGCCCGACTGCTGTGGACCTCCAGCGGCGTCAGCGGCGCCATTTTGGGGAGCTGCACCGCCGGGGCCTTCGCTGCTCGCCGTAGACGCGGGACCATCGGCGCCTGCGTGCTCAGCTGCACCTGCGGCGCCAACAACGGAGGCACCTTTCTCGTTGATCTTCCGCTTGGTCTTCATCCTGTCCAACTCGTCCCGTTCAGCTTGCCCCGCCCGCTCCGTCAACGCCGTGAGCTCCGAATCCTTGCTCTCGAAGCCCTGCATCCAAACCTCAAGCTCCTTGTTCAGTTGGCGAAGCACATGTTAGTCCGATTCCTCCGCGCCCCAGTCTTCGAAATTGTCGAAAGCTTCTGGGCTCACCTGGAAACTGATGGTCGGCTGCGAGCCGCTAGTGCCCGCGGAGCCCTCTGCGCCACGAACGCCTTCAGCCTCGGTAAGCGCTGCCGCCGCGACCTTCCTTGTGCGTTCGGCCATCGCCAGCTCCTTGGCCGCCGCCTGCTCCTTCGCATCGGCGGCCTGGAGCTGGGCGCGCAGCCTCAGCAACTGCGACGCAACCTGCTCGTGTTTGTGGCTCGCTGCCCTCCATGCTCCATCGGCACTCGTGACCGACTCGGCCGCCGATTCCTCAGCCGACGACGGGGGCGTGGCAAGGCGGCTTCTCTGGGCCTCGAGCGCGACTCTCATCTCCTCGTCCTGCGTCGTACGCGCGGCCGTCTCCAACAACACGTCCAGCTGCTTGTTGGCTGGGTCCTTCAACTTGCACCCGCCTGGGCTGCGAGAGCGGCGGCCGCCGCCACCCGTGCTGCCGACGCTGCTGTTCTCACCTTCCGAATCGTCCTCGAAACGTACACGACGATCGGGAGCATGGGGCTCGAACGGCTTCTTCATCTGGTGCTCGCAATGCTGGCATGTCACTTCGTTTGGGCGAATCTTGTCATTACACTCGATGTCTTGGAATAGTCACATCGGGTCCAGGGCCTGCTGGACGTACGAGACGGCGCCATCCCTGCTTTCGCGGCCACTCGTGAGACTGGCGGGGACACGAATGTACAAACTCAAACACCACTCTTAGGCACAGGGAAACCCGAGTGAAAACGTGTGAGACTCGTGGGGCCTGCCCCGAATCCCCCGCGCCGAAATGTCTTGAGGGAGGAGGAGGGTGAGGAGGGGAGGACGACATGCTAGATGCGCTCGCGTCATATCTGACATCCAACCCTCCTTCCCGTCCCTGACCATGGCGTATATCCCCTCTCTACTCGCACAGTCGGATGTCGAGCAGGGCAATGATCCCGAAAGGGTACGCGATGCATTGTAGAGCACGGCGTGGCATGGCGTAGAAGAGCACCGCAAAGCGTAGTATGTCACAGCATGCCGTGGCGTGGCGTAGTGCAGGAATGCAGCACACAACTTTGCAACGCAAAGCATGACATCGCACAGCGGCCCCGAACATAACATTGCATAGCATGGCGTTGAAGGTCAAAGCGTAGCATGGCATAGCATGACGTGGCACCTAAGCGCTGGATATGACAGCTGCAGCTGAAGGCATGGCATCGCGCAGCGGAACGCAACCTAGCATTGCATTGCATGCCGTTGCATGGCACGGGAAATGACGCCAACGCTGCAGGGGGAACACGATTCGGAACGAGCGGAAACGCGGAAATGAAGCCAGCGCTGCAACGGGAGCACGATTCGGAGCGAGCGGAAACACGGAAATGAGGCCAGCGCTGCAGCGGGAAGGAACGCGATTCGGAACGAGCGGGAGCCCGAAAATGAAGCCCGCGCCTCAGCGAGAGCACCATTTTGAAAAAAAGCCCCAGAGAAAACCCAACTCTGGGAAATCCTGTGTAAAAAACAGTACGCGGAGGGGTGCCCGCTATCTTCCGCACGCCATCAGGGGATGGAGGAGAGTGTATTCATATTGTGTAATTGTAAAGGAGGAGGAGGCGGAGTGAATATGGTGCAGCGGCTGTGGAGTCTGTTCTCAGAGCAAGGGCAAACATCCTGCTAGGCTGTCCGCAGGCCGCGCCATCTCATAATGAGGCCATGAGACTCCTGAAGGCGGGCAATGACCCGTCCACCAGAAGCGCAGGAGGTGGTCGTGCCCGTACCTTCACCCACGAAGTTTTGACTTTGTGTTTCTGTTTCCTCGGGTCTCCGAGTGTGCGGGCGTCTTGTGTACACGGAACACATCGTGTAGGAGCACAGAGGAGTAGACGGGGAGGGCGGGGCGGAGAAACACCAGATGGGAGGAGGGGCAGGGGCAGGTAAGGGATGAACAACAAGAGGTACGACAATGATGAGGACGACGACGACGCGATTGGATCCGCAAGTCGGCGGCCTCCTCCTGGCGACGGCTCCGCTTCGCGATGTCGTCGTCGAAGAGGCGCCTGGCACCGGAGGGAGCCGCGCCATGCCTTGGCAGTCGATCGCCGCCCTCAGGCATCTGAGACGAAGGCAAGATGAGGATACATTCTGACAAGGGGGCATCGATGATCCCACGTGTGTTAGCGCCAACGTGTGCTTACCAAGCCCTTCAGCGCGACGCAGGTGGTCTAATGAGGGCCGACACAGGCTGCGTGATATCGGTGGAGCTGGGTAAGCCACACACATTGGGATAACGCACGTCCTGAATATCATCGGGATGAATCGGGAATTTCTGAAGGCTGGCGGGTCTGGAGGATGTATCGAGCGCCGCGGCCATTACAGAGCGATTCATCCCGATCCTAGTCGGCGGCGAGCCCAGGGGAAGCGAAAAGCAGAAGGCCTCATTCGAAGGCTCGGGCCTCCCCCGGCCCCCGGAGAAGTGTTCGGAGCCTCCCCCGCAGGCGCCAAAGGCTCCTCCGAAGGCGCGAAGGCTTCCTGGACGGCCTTCTCCCTCTCGCTTCCCCCCCCCCCCGCCCGCCGCCGACGCAGGCCTCTGCCCGAGACGCCGCGGGCCGAGTTGGGAAGCCCGCTCTCCTGGCCGAGCCCTGGGAGGCGGTCCGCCGAGGAGACCCCGGGAGGCGAGAAGGCCGCACTCGGTGACGGCACCCCGTCTCGACGGCGGAATCGTTCTCCGTGCTCCCACGAGCGGCGAACACATCTGGAGGGCAGGAAGTCCACCCCGATCACAACCACCGCGGCGCGCGAGGCCTCTAGTAATTAAACGCGCCCAAAGAAGGAAGCGAAGAGGGCAGGGCTGTTTGGTAAACGCCCAGGGCCGTCCAGTAAACGCCAGTTGTCCAGTCCGGGTGGGTTTTTCTCCCTTGAATATCCGTATCCGCGCCCTCGCGGTCTGGATACCCGGGCGCGATCCCGCGGATACGCGGTCGCACGGATACGCGCCGCGCGGGGCATCCGTGAACAAAAAGCGCTCCGTGTCCGCGGAGTCGCGGCCCAGGGGGTCAACCCGCGAGACCGTGGATACGGATCGCGGGGGGTAATTGGGGGGGTGTTCCCAGGGCCTGCTGGGTTTCCCTTAGCTCTGTGGGGCAATTTCTTCAGTGCGGCCTTCTGTTTCCTCACATCTGAACATCGTTTCCCGAATTCGGGCGCGGGGGGGGGCCTGGCTTCCTCGGGAACAGGTATCTCATGGGTTCGAACCTCCGCGGGGGGATCGGCACTGGTTTTCGGCAAATCGAGGGCCGAACCGAGGGAGCAGCTTCTTCCGTGCGCACCGCAGGATAAGCGCAGCATGGTTGAATGGCTGGTGAATTGGCGTGCCGAGTGGGACATGCGTTCTACGGCGCTCGCTTGGTCAAGCCTCCTTGAGTCTCACTCGTCCGTCTCGGAGGGTCGAAATCAGGACGACACGGGAGTGGGCGATCATTGGCAACACTTTTCTTTCATGCGCGAAGTAGTGTGCTGTTGATTCCCCACATGCTTCGTGGGGTTCTGGTTTTCTTCCCTTCCGCGTCTCACCCGCGTCTCCTCCTCCCTCTCCTCCCTCTCCTTCTCTTCCCTGCTGCGCCGCACCCGCGCTCATTCACCTCACTCAGCTCAGCTCAGCACAGTACGGCACAGCACAGCTCGGCTCAGCTTAGCTGAGTGCGCAGGGGGTGGTCTCCCTATGCGTGCCAGGGTCGTCCACGCATAGCAAGCGTGGCATTTTCTCGACACCAGAGGGGGTGCGCAGAGGGTGGTCCCTCAACGCGGCCTCTATCTGTGACACGCTCGCAGATCGTGGCAGGAGTGGCACTTTCTCGACACCACAGGGGGTGCGCAAAGGGTGGTCCCTCAGCGCGGCCTCTATCCGTGACACGCTCGCAGATCGTGGCAGGAATAGTACGTTCTCGACGCCACAGGGGGCGCGCAGAGGGTGGCCCCTCAGCGCGGCCTCTATCCGTGACACGCTCGCAGATCGTGGCAGGAGTGGCACTTTCTCGACACCACAGGGGGTGCGCAGAGGGTGGTCCCTCAGCGCGGCCTCTATCCGTGACACGCTTGCAGATCGTGGCAGGAATGGCACTTTCTCGACACCACAGGGGGTGCGCAGAGGGTGGTCCCTCAGCGCGGCCTCTATCCGTGACACGCTCGCAGATCGCGGCAGGACTAATACTTTCTCGGCACCACATGGGGGTGCGCAGAGGGTGGTCCCTCAGCGCGGCCTCTATCCGTGACACGCTCGCAGATCGTGGCAGGAGTCGTACTTTCTCGGCACCACAGGGGGCGCGCAGAGGGTGGTCCGTCAGCGCGGCCTCTATCCGTGACACGCTCGCAGATCGTGGCAATAATGGCGACGCCACAGGGGGTGCGCAGAAGGTGGTCCCTCAGCGCGGCCTCTATCCGTGACACGCTCGCAGATCGTGGCAGGCATAATACTTTCTCGACACCACAGGGGGTGCGCAGAGGGTGGTCCCCCAGAGCGGCCTCTATCCGTGACACGCTCGCAGATCGTGGCACTTTCTCGACGCCACAAGGGGTGCGCAGAGGGTGGTCCCTCAGAGCGGCCTCTATCCGTGACACGCTCGCAGGTCGTGGCAGGGGTTGCATTTTCTCGGCACCACAAGGGGGCGCGCAGAGGGTGGCCCCTCAGCGCGGCCTCTATCCGTGACACGCTCGCAAATCGTGGCAAGAATGACACTTTCTCGACGCCGCAAGGGGTGCGCAGAGGGTGGTCCTTCAGCGCGGCCTCTATCCGTGACACGCTCGCATACCGTGGCGGGAGCAGCATTTTCTCGACACCACAGGGGGTGCGCAGAGGGTGGTCCCTCAGCGCGGCCTCTATCCGTGACGCGCTCGCAAATCGTGGCAGGAGTGGTACTTTCTCGACACCACAAGGGGGTGCGCAGAGGGTGTTCCCCCAGCGTGGCCTCTATCCGTGACACGCTCGCAGATCGTGGCAGGAGTCGTACTTTCTCGGCACCACAGGGGGTGCGCAGAGGGTGGTCCCTCAACGCGGCCTCTATCCGTGACACGCTCGCAGATCGTGGCAGGAGTGGCACTTTCTCGACACCACAGGGGGTGCGCAGAGGGTGGTCCCTCAGCGCGGCCTCTATCCGTGACACGCTCGCAGATCGTGGCGGGAGTCGCATTTTCTCGACACCACGGGGGGTGCGCAGAGGGTGGTCCCTCAGCGCGGCCTCTATCCGTGACACGCTCGCATATCGTGGCAGGAGTCATACTTTCTCGACACCACAGGGGGTGCGCAGAGGGTGGTCCCTCAGCGCGGCCTCTATATGTGACATATGTGACGCGCTCGCAGATCGTGGCAGGAGTGGCACTTTCTCGACACCACAGGGGGTGCGCAGAGGGTGGTCCCTCAGCGCGGCCTCTATATGTGACGCGCTCGCAGATCGTGGCAGGAGTGGCACTTTCTCGACACCACAGGGGGTGCGCACAAGGTGGTCCCTCAGCGCGGCCTCTATCGGTGACACGCTCGCAGATCGTGGCAGGAGTCGCATTTTCTCGACACCACGGGGGGTGCGCAGAGGGTGGTCCCTCAGCGCGGCCTCTATCCGTGACACGCTCGCAGATCGTGGCAGGAGTGGCACTTTCTCGACACCACAGGGGGTGCGCAGAGGGTGGTCCCTCAGCGCGGCCTCTATCCGTGACACGCTCGCAGATCGTGGCAGGAGTGGCACTTTCTCGACACCACAGGGGGGGCGCAGAGGGTGGTCCCTCAGCGCGGCCGCTATGCACGACGGTCGTCCAGGGCATAGCAGGCGTGGCATTTTCTCGACGTCGTAGTGGGTGCGCAGGGGGTGGTCCCTCACCGCGGCCGCTATGCACGACGGTCGTCCAGGGCGTAGCAGGCGTGGCATTTTCTCGACACCAGAGGGGGTGCGCAGGGGGTGGTCCCTCAGCGCGGCCGCTATGCACGACAGTCGTCCAGGGCATAGCAGGCGTGGCACTTTCTCGACACCATAGAGGGTGCGCAGGGGGTGGTCCCTCATCGCGGCCGCTGGCTGGCTCGATTCTGTCCTCGATGGAGGATAGAAGGCTAGGAAGAGGGAGGAGGTTCAAGCAATATGGCGTTGGATGACATGTAGGGGAACATTCGCGACGAGGGCTGAGAACGCGCATATAGTATAAGCTTAAGCAAACACATAAGATTTAAATTAAGTATGTGGGGTTCCTCGGTAGCGTAATTTTCAAGGCCAACGTGGTCCGCAATCCGATGAACCTCGTCTGCCCAGTGGCGTTCGTTGTCTACTTCGGACAGATCTTGCTGTTCTTGGAGGCCTCCTAGATGGCATCGGAGTAGAGGTGGTCGGAGGACCGCACCGCTCTGCCGATGCATCGGCGATGCATCGGGGATGCTCCGGTGATGCATCGTCGACGTCGCCGGTGCATCCATCGGCGACGTCGACGTGAAGCAAATCGGGCTTTACATCGAGCCGCATCGGCGATGCATCGGCGATGCGGCGCGATCCTCCGACCACATTTGCTCCGAGCCCTTCTGTGAGGCCTAAAATTTGGGTCATCGCTCCCGTTGGTGATGCCCCCATTTCGCGCGTACCATAGGTCTCGTGGCCGTCCTCGGGAATCTGGAGCTTTCTGTCTCTTCTACGAGGAGGATGGCAAACGCCCTCGGGTCACGCTGCACAGGGACAGCACCAGAGAGGACTACGACGCGGTGGGCCAGCGTGCTACGGTTGCGTACGTGTCGGTTCACCTCTCACGGCCCTCTTCTGTGTCGTGTCGTGTGCTGGCTCTACCGCAGGAGTCATCAGAAGCCTGCTGGGCCCAGACAGCTTCCAACGCTGACTTCATGGGCCCCCCGAAGCTGACTACGGTCAACCCGCATCACAAGGATGCGCGGTGAGCGTGCAGGGGCCCTGGAGGCCCATGCGAACGTTTCTCGCACGAGGTTGGCCAGCGAAAGTGGCCAAGGATGGGCCGAGGATCGGGCGTTGGTAGAACTGGGTTTAGTGGAACCTGGTTTAGTGATCTGTACCTGCGCCCCCCCGTCCCATTTCCACCAACAGGAACTGCCGTCACCCGAAAAAACACCAGCTATGGCAAACCTGGTTTAGTGATTCTGGCCAATTCAGGGGCTCCGGGGCCCTACCACTAACCAGGTCCCCTTATCCGGGGTCCTGGCCATACCCGACTGGGACGGAAGAACGCCCCTCAAGAGCACGAGACCCTCCGCCGGCCCATAACTGAAGAACATTTGAGGGCGTCCTGCCCCAGGGCGCACAACCAGCAGACATGGGGGACACCAGGGTACCCTTCCCGAACTGACCTCGATCTTTATGCAGCACGACAGGGATGCAAGGCCCTTGGAAGGCCGTTTCGAAGCTTTTCGAGTGGGGCACGGCCAACGAACGTGGCCACGGATGGACCGAGGAGACAAGGATGCAAGGGCACCCTTGGGACAATCCCCCCCGTCCTTGCTACGCGGGTTGACCCGGTTGACTGTACCCGGTGCGACTGCATCAGAGGTCAGTGCAGGCTCAGGGGGATAAACCAAAATCGGATCGATAAGTCGGATCGGCGATCGAAACAAATCGGATCGGCGGAAATCAGCAGCCGAGTCGGGAAAAGTCAAACCGGCGGGAATCGGCAGGCTAGTATGCCTCCAAAGACAGATCGGAGCCCAAATCGGGATCCGAAGTCGAATCGAATCGGAAGCCATCGAGGTCGAGTCGAATCGAACTGGGGGAATCGAAACGAGCCCTGCTCAGGTGGAGGGACGCAGGCGAGGAGCGGAGGACGAGCTCCGGGGGGCGACGAATCGGCGACTCCGAAGGGTGTAGTTTGCGAAGGGTGTGATTTGCAACTGGCACCCTGGGGGACACCCTGGGGGGCTGGCGGGGACCTCGATGGAGCTCCCCGCCACGCCCCGAGGAGGCCCGACGAGGACAATGTCGCACCCCCCAGGCCCCAACGGTGCCGATCGCAAGCCACACCCTGGTGCAACCGTACTCCTTGCAGCCGCCGAACGGAGGCCGACCAGCCATGACTGGGGGAGCTGTGTCCCTTACCCCCCTGGGGGAACCCACCGCCTCGACGATCTCTCGAGAGGGGTGTCGAGATCGATGGGCCCCCCAAGGGGGTAAGGACCTCTTTAGAGTCCCGAATCGGTGCGGTGACACACCGTGCGGTGACCTCGAAATCCCCCAAGACCTCACCGCACGGTCCGTCACCGCACGGCCTTGGGACCCTGAGGGCTCCACTCGCCCGAAACACCCTCGGAGAGGGACTCGGCTCCCAAAACCGTGCGGTGACCCCGAATTCCCACCGACTCACCACACGGTGTGGTCACCACCCCGTTTGGGGGCCCCCGACCGGCGGCCGCTTGGGACGATCCGAGCATCCCCGGAGGAGCCCTTGTCTCAGGTCGGGCATGTCCTCCTAAAGGCGGGTTTTGGAAGAACAACCAAGCATTGTCAAGACTGAATCAAAAGCAGTCAAACATAGTCGAAATATCGTCCCCAGACTACTTTTTGCCTGTTTTTGAGCATTCCTCCTGCAGAGGGGCACGCCCGACTTGACCCTTGACGGGGCGCAGCTGCTGGAGGGTACCCCGACGCGAGAAGGCCTCCCGCAGTCGACGAGGGCGCCCGATCACCCGAGCGGTCCTCGACCGATACTGGGCGCGCCGCCGACGTCTGGGAGGTCTGGAGGGCAGGAGCGCGGCCGCGGGCCGCGCCGTGGTCTTCCCTCCTCGATTTTCCATGAAGAGTGGTTCGATGATCCTCATAATCTACGCGCCCACCTCAGCTACACAACGGGGAACCGAGGACACAACAACGGTTTTTTTGGGCTCGTTTGGAGCGAGCGCACAGTTTATAGTGAGAGAGAGAGCTATCACGAAAGACCCATCGCCCACTTCCCCCCTCGCAGCCCCTCGGCGTGGGCGAGGGGGGGGCCCTCGCTTTGCATCCGCGCCCCGAGTTGCTCGTGCGGGCGACGTTGCCAAGGCGTCCGCGCGCGTACATTATATGTAGCACTCACCCGTGCTTGCCCGGGCCTAAAGTGCACGCAGAACATGTGTTAGCGCCAACGTGCGTTTGCCATGCGAGGCCCTTCCAAACGGCGCAGGCGATGTGATGATCTGGCGCTGGGGCTGCACGGGGCAAGCACAAAGTGGGCCAACACACGTCCTGAGGATCATCGAGTGGTGACCCCCCTCCTGTCAGGGAGACGCCGGGCTGCGGTTCGGGGGGCTCGGGTCGGCCTGACGGGGCTTTCCTGAGAATGACGAGACCCCGTCTGGACCTTGCCGCGAAGTCCCACTGCAAACGCCCCACGACAGCTGGACCGTCAAAATCCAGGGCGCGCTCGTCAAAAAGCGTCGGCAAACCCGAGTTCCGGCGTACTCGAGTCTTACGTTTCCCCGATACTGGTGACCTCCCTTGGCAGAGCCCGATTTTTTCCCCAAGCACCAGCGACCTCCAAACCAACACCGACTGAAAGCATGCCGTCGCTGCGCTGTCGAAGAGGTCGGCGAATGTGAGGCCAAACCGTATGTATGTCAAACGGTACGCGCCGCAAAGGTCTTAGCACTGCCTGAATCTGGGAGAGGGCGCGCAACCAGCGGATCCAGGGATCCCACCCTGTGCAGGGTGGTGACGACGCCAGGGGTGCGGCCGAGAAGTTGTCTGTTGCAGAACCCATTTCGCCCACGAGTTCTCCGCTCTGTCATCGATGCCATCGGGCGGGTGGTAATGGGGGATGACCCAAATGGGGATGAAGAAAAGGCTCCAAAGGGGCCCTTTAACGCCCCTCCTCGTCCTCCTCCTCCTCCTCCTCCTCCTTCTACTGCGCCACCTCCTCCTCCTCCTCCTCCTCCTCCTCCTCCTCCTCTGCACCTTTCCCGACACCTTGTTCCTCCTCTTTCCTCCTTCCTCCCCCTTACTCCTCCTCCTCCTCCTCCGCCCCCTTCTCCTCCTCCTCCTCCTCCTCCTCCTCCTCTTCCTCCTCCTCCTCCTCCTCCTCTCTCCTCCTAGTCCTCCTCCTACTCCTCCTCTAGTCCTCCTCCTATCCTCTTAGTCCTCCTCCTCCTCCTAGTCCTCCTCCTCGTCCTCCTCCTCCTCTCCTCCTCCTCCTCCCTCTTCCTCCTCCTCCTCCTCCTCCTCCTCCTCCTCCTCCTCCTCCTCCCTCCTCCTCCCGACGGTGACGCTGGGGCTGTCTCGTCCCGCAGCGGTACCTAATCCCTTCCTCCTCCTCCTGCCTCTGTCTCCGTCTCGCTCCCTCCCTCCTCCCTCCCTCACTCCCTCCCTCCCTCCCTCCCTCCCTTCCTTCCCTCTTCCTCCCCCTTCCCCTCCCCCTCCTCCTCCTCCTCCTCCTCCTCCTCCTCCTCCTCCTCCTCCTCCTCCTCCTCCCTCCTCTGTCCCTCCTCCCTTCCTCCTTCCTCCCTCCCCCCTTCCTCCCTCCTCCCCCTCCCTCCCTCCCTCCCTCCCTTCCTTCCTTCCTTCCTTGCTTCCTTCGTTCCTTCCTCGCGGCGGCGTCCACCGGCGCTCCACGGCGCCCGTGCGGGCGGCGGGCGCGCGCGCGAGGTCTCCTGGTGATCTCACTCGGGTCCACCGCCGCAGAGGCCGCCGGGGGCCGGAGGCGCGTGGCGTTGAGCTTTTGCTCCTCCTCGCGGCGCGACCTGCGCGGGTGGAGGGGTCGAGAAGGACAGAATGCGGAGAAGGCGCGAGGATCCTGGGAGCGACCTAGTGGGGGGAGCGTTTCCTGGGGGGAGGAGGGAGGAGGAGGAGGAGGAGGAGGAGGAGGAGGAGGAGGAGGAGGAGGAGGAGGAGGAGGAGGAGGAGGAGGAGGAGGAGGAGGACGAGAGGAAGAGGAGGAGGAGGAGGAGGAGGAGGAGGAGGAGGAGGAGGGAGGAGAGAGGAAGAGGAGGAGGAGGAGGAGGAGGAGGAGGAGGAGGAGGAGGAGAGGAGGCGGGAGGAGGAGGAGGAGGAGGAGGAGGAGGAGGAGGAGGAGGAGGAGGAGGGGGGAAGAGAGGTGCCCTTCTCGGGCCCTAAAGCCCCCCTCTGGGGCCCCAAGGGGCTCCCTTAGGGGGCCCCACTGGGCCCCTCCTCTGCAGCCCTCGCGGGCCCCCCAGATGGCCCCTCCTTAGATCGCGCCCAAGCATCGGGGAGGCGCGACCTGCCGCGAGGGGGGAGGGGGGAACGCTTCGGGCCCGAGGCTTGAGGTTCTCAAGCGTCTCGTCGGCGCTCGGAGGTTTTTGCGGCCTCGGGGTGCCCTCCAGCAGCTGCGCCTCGCCGCAAGCGCCCTGGGGGTGCCCAGAGCGTCCCGAGGCGGCCGCTGGAGAGCCGAGGCGTGCTCGAGAAAAAAGGACCCAGTGCTCCGAGGCGAAGTTTTTCAGTGCCTGCGTTTTTCTTCGATCTCTAGGGGAATAAAAAGTGGCATACACATAAAAACTCGGAGGTCCACGCGGATTTCTCGGATCGGCGCTGGACCCCCCTCCCTGGCGCGCGGAGCGCGCCAGGGGCGGCGCCGGAAGCGCCGCCGGGGGCGCCGCCGGGGGGCCCCAGCGCCGATCCGAGAAATCCGCGCGGACCTCCGAGTTTTTATGTATATGTCACTTTTTGTTCCCCTAGTCTCGGCCTTCGGGGGCCCGTCTCTGGGCCGGGGGCAATCGAACATGGATCCGGAAGCTCCGCGGGCTGAACAAACATCGGAAGATGTCGGGGTGTGTGGCGCGACCTTCGAGGACCGAGGAGTCTCGAGGATCGAGGAGGCTCGAGGCTCGAGGCTCGAGCCTCCTCGATCCTCGAGCCCTCTCGCGAACTGGCCACCCCCGAGAGTGTGGGGGGAGGGGCGCGAAGCTGGCTCGCTGGCGGACCGCTTCGCTCGAGAACCGTCCCTCCTCCCACCTCCCTCCTCCTCCTCCTCCTCCTCCTCCTCCTCCTCCTCCTCCTCCTCCTCCTCCTCCTCCTCCTCTCCCTCCTCCTCCGCCAAGGCTGACGACTGTCGCTTGCCATGCGCGCGGGGACGTCCGAATCCCGTCGCCCCCCGCGCCACCACGCAGCGGCGCCCGCGGCAGGTGCCCGCGCAGCTCGATCCTGCAACTGCTTTTGCCGGCGTGAGCCCCAATCGTTCGGTTCCTGCACGCCTGGTGTGCACTCTGTGTGTGGTGCAGTCCGTGTGGTGAACGCTGTGGAGCGCGCGCGCGTGTGGCCCCTCGTGGTCTAACTTGGCGGAGTGGCAGGCAACACGTGCTTCCCTTCTGCTTCGAGCAAGCGCACGCGAGCAGAAACTCGCATCCTTTTTTGGGGGCGGCGCGCACGAGGGGGTGGAGGGAGGGGGGAGGGCTTTTCCGAAGGAGGCTGCTCCTTGGAAGGCGCCTGCCTTCCATCCATGGATAAGGCCCGTGCCTTCTAAGAAGCAGGGGTGCTTCTAAGCAGCCCTCCCCCCTCCCCCCTCCCCCCTCTGCGCGTGGCTGATTCTTACGGAGCACTGAACTTCCCTGAGCAGTGTTTGCCCTCGAGGGTCCTCGCTTGTCTTGCTCAAACACTTGTTTCCCTGCCCACACGCACCAAGCGACCGCCAACCGTGCCCAGCTGAACGGTCCATCGCAGCGGCGCCAACCAGTGCAAACAGAATGCGCCCCCCTGTAACGAAGCGCTTGTCTTGCCTCAACACTTGGATGGGCCCACCGAGGCTCCTCCTGGCGCCCGCCCGTAGGCGCCCCGTGGGCATCCCTCGTGCGCCTTGGGCGCGTCTGCCGAAGCCTCGCCCGGTGCCCCGCCCGTGGGCGCCTCCTGGGCTGGGCGGCTCCGCCGAGGCTCCGCTTTCCACACGACCACCCCTCGGGCGCTGAGCGGCGGCGAGCGAGGGGGCGGAAGCGAGGAGGAGAAGGCCCTGCCGGAAGGCGGAGGGACGTTTCTTCCCGCTTGCGTCAGGTCGGGCATGTCCCTCTACCGGCGGATCTTGGGCGAAAGCTCTAAGGAGCACTCAACCAAGAACCCCAGCTGCTCACACATCGGCAACAACAATCGTCCCCGGACCGTCTTCGCGGACTACTTTTCCCATACCCCTCCTGTAGGGGGGACGCGCCCGACTCGACGCTCGTGGGCACCTCCCTGCGCTGGGGGGGGTCCGCCGAGGCCTCGCCCCGCGCCCGCCAGCTGGCGCCTCGTGGGCCCTTCGCGGACGCCCGCGTGCGCCAGGCGGGCCCGCCGAGGCTCCGGCCGGCGCCCGCGCCTCGCGGGCGCCGCGAGGGGCGCCCGCGTGGGCGCCCGCGTGCGCCGGGCGGCCGCACGCTTTGCACCGCGCGGCTGCTGCCACGCAGCCTGCACCGCGCAGCTCATGCACCACGTAGCGTTCTTACTAGGGGAACGGACACTGACATAAACATGAACAACTCTGAGGTCCGCGCGGGTACCTTGGATCCGCGCTGGACCCTCCTCCCTGGCGCGCGGAGCGCGCCAGGGGCGGCGCCGGAGGCGCCGCCGGGGGGCCCCAGCGCCGATCCGAGAAATCTGCGCGGACCTCCGAATTTTTATGTTTATGCCACTTTTTGCTCCCCTGCTTACACCCAAGAACCGGCCACAGCGGTGTTAAAAACGAGATGTCGTTTACAGCGAACAGCGAAACGAGGTTCAGCGTTCAACCTGAACGTTTAAACAAAGCCGGCGCCAAACGGAAACGAACGACGAAACGGGGCGTTCAAAACAACAACGAACAACAACATGAAACGACAACGAAAAACGAAACGAAAAACAAAGCAATGACCCAAACCAAGCTAAACAGCGTTGTGGTCGGTCCTTGCTGACACCACCTAGCTTACACAACATCGCTTGCACCGCACAATTTGCACGACATGGCTTGCACCGCACAGCTTGCTCCGCACAGCGGGCACTTGCATGACGTTGCTGACACCACGTAGCTTGCACCACACCGCTTGCACTCCATACGGCCAGCATCGACGATGCGGACTGACACTTAAAAATGCAAGACCTCTGAAACGGGCCGCAATGGAAACAACGTGCCGACCTTCAAACTGCCGAAGGATGCAAAGGAACACCAGCAAGGCAACATCCTGGACCCCCGTACGCCAAAGCGCATTGGGAAGGATACCCTTGGGCCGGGGAAGCCGAACACGCTAAGGACGGCTAAAACCAAAGGGTGCAAAATGCCCTTACGAAAGAGGGCCTTCCCTAACGCCGGTTTTGAAAGCTGCCCCACGGTGCAGTTATTAACTGTTCGGGGTCCACACTGGCAAACATGCTTTCTTCCCGTACGTTCTTGAGAAGCACTGGGTGCCCTTAACGAACGGGGTCTTCCTTAATGCCGGTAGTGAAAGTTGCACCACGGTGCACAAGCTTACTGTTCGGACAGACATGCTTTCTTCCCATACGTTCTCGAGATGCACTGTCCTGAAGTTGTTCAATAACGGTCGCAAGGTGAATTGCTTTTGCATGCGTGCGCGGTGGGCGGGCGCGTGGCCCGCATGATATGCTGTGATACGGGCTCACTGCGAGTTCAAATGTGAGATCAAATCGAGTGCTCCGCACACCTGGCCTTGTCTGGCAGGGACGAGGGGATTGAGAAGAAAGGGCCAGGCTGGGATACTGTAAAATCCAAAAGAAAAGACGGACGCCCGCGCATAAGAAAGCGCCACTGCGCGGAGCCGTGTCGTTGAGTTCAGAGGGGTTCAATATCCTTTAGAGTGTCAGCCAGCGTGGGCCCCAAACAGTGTGCACTGTGCTGTGCAGGCGGAAGCTATGCGGACCAAGCAGCGTGGTGTTAGCTACGCTGTTCAAGCTATGTGGTGTGAACTATGTGGTGCAATCTCTGTGGTGCAAGCTAGGTGGTTTGCACCATGCGGTGCAACCTTCGTGCGGTAAAGGAAGTGCGTCATGCAAGCTGTACGATGCAATCTGTTGGCACCTCTCGGGTTCCAGCCGGAACCGGCGCCCATGGGCGGGCACCCGGCGAAAACCTGGAATTGCAAGGCCACGAATGGGACAACACATTCTCACCAGGATTCCGAGGCGCCGTGTCGCAAAAGGGTCCTCCACGAGGCCCAGGGACATCGAACGGCGGCACCATCCCGGGCCCTCTCCTCCTCACCACTGCTCCTCCCGGGTGTGCTGCTGCTCCCCCCTGGCCAGTGCCCTTCTTGCCCTCTTCCTCCCCCCTCCGACGGCGCCGGGGCCTTTTCCGTGACGGGGGCCCCCGGACTCTCGAGCCCCTTGCCGGGTCTGGCGTTTCGTCCTGGTCAGTTTTCGACGGCCGAGGGCCCGAAACGGGCCTCGGGACCCACGCGCATGGAACACCGGCCGCCTGGGCTTTCTCGCGCCCCCGAACCTGAAGGTCCCCCTCCTCTCCCAGGCACTGCCGCGGGGGGTCACTGCTACTGAGGGGGTCGCCACCTTCTCGCGTGGGGCTAGGCGGAGTACCCCGCAGGGGCCCCCCGCACAAGTCCTCGATCCCCCCCTCCTCGAGGTGGACCCTCAGGAGTTGTTGGCGACCTCCTCCAACGGTGATCCCCCCGCTGAGAGAAATCGAAAAGAGGGGACCACCTCAGGGACCCGTGGAGACACTGGCCTGGAGCCGACGATACGTCGCCGATAGATCGGCGATACGCTCCCGATGGGGGAACCCCGCGCTTCCGTGCAGGCTGGGCATCCTTGGCGGCGCGCACAAGGGGGTGGAGGGAGGGGGGGAGGGCTTCTTGGAAGGAAGCTGCTTCTTAGAAGGCGCCGGCCGCACATCTATAGATAGGGCCCGCGCCTTCCAAGAGGCAGGGGTGCTTCTGAGCAGCCCTCCCCCCTCCCCCCCACCCCCCCTCTGCGCGTGGCTGACATTTCCTGGCCCCGATCGGCGCGGCAAGGGCGATTCGGGGCCGATGCTGCGATCACGGTACGACAATCAGTCCGGACGATCGGCGCAGGCAGCTGCAGCTCTTCGCCAATGTTGGGCCGACGTTGTTCGTCCCCCCTGCGCATCCCCCCTCTCCAGAGTCCTCCTAGCTGGGGTCCGAGTAGATGGTGTCGAAGCTCTCGCCGCATCGCCGATGCATCGCCGATGCATCGGCGATGTAACTGGCGACGTCGGCGCTGCATCGGCGACGTCGACGTGACGCAAACGCGGCTGCGACTTTGGCGATGCATCGGCGATGCGGCGCGATCCTCCGACCCCATCTGCTCCTCCTCCTCCTCCTCCTCCTCCTGCTCCTTCTCCTCATCTTCCTGCTCCTCCTCCCTTCTCCCTCCTCCTCCACCTCCTCCTCCTCCCTCCTCCTCCTCTTCCTCCTCTTCCTCCTCCTCGCCTAGACTCTCTCGCTCAGGGAGGGCCGGGAAGGCCGGGCCTCAGCTTCAGGTGCTCGCGGCGCGCGTCTAGGGCCGAGCGCTGCGCGTACAGCCGCGCGGCTGCCTCAAGAGGGGAGGAGGTCGGCGGCGCGCCGGGGGCGACAACGTTGTCGTTGAGGCCGTCGCCGCCGCCGCCACCGCCGTCGTCATCGCCTCCGACGCCGCTGTCGTCGTCGTCGTCGTCGTCGTCGTCGTCGTCGTCGTCGTCATCGTCGTCGCAGTCGCCGCCGTCGTCGTCGTCGTCGCCGTCGTTGCTGTTGTTGTTATTGCTGCTGTTGTTGCTGATGTTGTTTGGCTGGTGTTGGTGTTGGTGTTGGTGTTGGTGATTGTGTTGCTGTCGTTGTCGTTATCGTTGTTGTTATTGTTGTTGTTGTCGTTGTCGTCGTCGTTGTTATTGTTGTTGTTGTTGTTGTTGTTGTTGTTGTTGTTGTTGTTGTTGTTGTTGTCGTTGTCGTTGTTGTTGTTGCTGTTGTTGTTATTGTTGTTGTCGTTGTCGTTGTTGTTGTTGTTGTTGTTGTTGTTGTTGTTGTTGTTGTTGTTGTTGTTGTTGATGTCGACGTCTTCGTGGTCGTCGTCGTCGTCGTCGTCGTCGTCGTCAATGTCATCACCATCGCCCTGGACAGGCGCCGCTCAGCGAGACAGCCTGGCGTGACGGCGGCCCAGCAATGACAAGCACGGACGAACAGACGGGCGAGCATCACTGCGGGCCCCAGACGAGGAGGATGCATGACCGCAATGGCGGACCCTGCGCGAATCATACCAATGCTCGTACACGTAAGCATCAGACAACCATTGTGGGCTGCAGGTGAAGCAGGCGTCGTCGAGGTCGTCGCTTTGGAAGATTTGGGGCGCTTCTGGAGATTCCCGTCGCCACGGCTGGTCGCGTCTGCTAGAGCTGGGCAAGATTGGCCCCAGCAGGGGTGTGGGAGCCGTTTTGGAGCGGACTCTGACAAGGGCGGGACCAAGGGGATGGCCATGTGAGAAGAACGGGGTAACACGCCTTGGTGGAAACCTCCGAGCTCTTCCAAGGTCCGGAGGAGCCTCCTGCCTTCTCAGAAGGCCGCCCCCCTCTCACCCCGTCCCCTCTGGTGAACGTCTTCGCATTCGGCGTTTCGGCATGGGGCGGAAGGGGGGAGGGAGGGGGGGGTCTGGCTCCGGACCTCTGCTGAATGCGACTGTCTGCAACAATGCGTCCTACGGGGGAGACTCCGCCGGCTTGAAACACGAGCCAAACACAGCCGAGATCTACTCCATGGGGGGGGAGGGGGCGCGAGGGCCCGCGCCGATCGGCGAAACGATGAATACAACTACCACTTGGTGCGCCACCAGGGGGGGGGGAGGGAGGGTACAGGATGGGCGAGGGGATCAATATCTCCAGGCGTGGGCAAGAGAACTGCGTCGGGTGCTTCTCTCCGCGATGCTGTGCCCCTTCGGGACGTTTGGCCTTCCTGGGGGGCCGATCGCCGGGCTTCATTTGGCTCCCGAAGAGCACCCCCCGCGGCGCAAGATGGGTTGGTGGTGGTAGGAGCTCTCCACGAATTCGGCAGTTTGGGGAAGAGAGGAGAAGGAGGAGGAGGAGGAGGAGGAGGAGGAG